AATCTTTGTGAAGCGTCTAACTCCGACTGCCAAAGCTCTACAGAAGATAGGAGCGTCAAATTGGACTCCTACCACTCACAAGCAGTTTGTCACCCCTACGCAAGCTCGTGTTATATACCGTATTTTGAATGGTATCCCATTTGATGTTAGCTCTGTGATTTTTGATGCTGTTGTGGGCTTTGCGGAAATCTCTAAGCCTCATAAGTTGTTGATGTATCCATCTACCATATGTGCTATTCTCTTCGAGGCTGGTGTGAAAATGGATCCTCGACTTGGTGATAATTATGCACCTGTTAACAAACCTCTAGCCCTTGCCGGTGTTAAGATTGCTCCTCCTCGTCCTAATCTTGTTAAGGCTTCTGATGTACATTCATAGCTTTGAGGCTTTTTAAATCAGCAAGTAGCAGTTTTCGCGGGACTTGAAAAGAAATGGGCTGATCAGCGAAGGTACTACAAAGAGGTTCTGGGTGCCTTAAAGTCTCATACCCCTTTGGTCTCTAAATCGAAAAAGGGGAAGAAAAAGAAGGATGTTGTTGTAGTTGCTGCAATGAAGAAAGCTATTGCTAAGGGGGAGAAGAAAAAAGGGTGCTGAAGAAAGGAAGAAAAATGCGGTTATTGTTGCTGCTAAGGAAAAGGGGAAAGAGAAAATTATTGCCGCTAAGGACAAGGGAAAGGAGAAGGTTGTGGAAGAAGATGAAGGTTCAAAAGAAAGAGAGGATGAAGAAGTTGGGTCTGATGCCGAGGATGAGGAAGAGGAAACAGGCTCAGAGGAAGAGACTGAGGATGGTGCTGAAGAAGGTTCAGGGGAGGAACCTGACGAGAAAGAATCTGCTTAGCCATCTGTCAGCAGGACTTTCATTTGTCTTTTGTTAAAAACTTCTTAATTTGCGTGTTTGCCGAACTCCTTTATTTTCTATTTCTTATTCCTTCTGCATGTGATGAACTTTTTCTTAGTATCTTGTGATTTGTTCTAATCTATTCAGGTATTCGGGTTGCTCTTAAGAACAACACGTGCGAATTGTATTTAGATATTTTGTGGTTAATTTATATGCAGTGCAGAATATGTATTTCATCTTGCAGGTTCAAGAAAATGGTTTTCGATTTATCTGCCAAAGGGGGAGATTGTCAATTCTGGTTATTGGCAGTAAATCGATGAACCTTCTGACAATCACAGGATCCAGAAAGACGCGGAAGTATTTAAGGGAAGTTTATTTTTTGTATGAATAAGTTTTAATTTTATTTAAGTCCAAGGGACTAATTATTTGTGTTATTATTTTGGCAGGACTTTGGGATTGAGGGCGAGATACACTTTCCATAGTCTAAAGAGAAGGAGGATCGCGATATTCACTTACCATATACATGGTTGTCTTGGGCTCAAAGACTTATCAATATACTGAAGATAAAAGGAGGACGAGAAGGCAGTTGAGGACGACTTTTTTTGATTGGGTTTTTTGAGTTTTATATTTTTCTTTTCTTGAGTGATAAGGTGAACACATAAGTTTTTTTGTAACAGAATGTTCGGAGATTCATTCTGATTTAGTTTGAGGGATTCGAACTAGAAAAATCCACAAGGGAGTTGTGGTCGGATAAGTAGTTGTGTGAATCATCATTCAAGTAGAGTGTAGAGGGAGTCTATACTGTAAATCCTTGGATGATGTATGAGTTGTTCACATTAATGAAAGAGGTCTGAAGGGAGAGTGGGACCCTCTCCTAAAGGTTCAATTTTTAGTGAAAACTACTTCCGCAATTGTTTGAATCTTCATTACTGTCTGTTTGTTCTATTTACGTGCAACTCTGGATACTTGGTGTTCAAGTATCACATTTCGTCCTCGACAACACCAACTTACGGTGCGGCTCAATGCCCTTCCAATAACTCGGTATCCCCCTCACTGCGGACCGAATCACGGCTAGGCTCTTTGATGGCATGATTGAGCAAATTGAGAGGCAACTGAGGGGTTGGAAAGGGCATACTCTTTCCTATGCGGGAATATTGGAACTACTTCGCTTGGTGATCCAAGGCATTCTGTGCTTTTGGATGGGGATCTTCCACTTGCCCGACGTAATTAGAAAGAAAATCACTCAACTATGTAGAAAGTTCCTTTGGGGTTCGAAGAGCGCACCCGTGGCTTGGGATAGTATTTGCCTACCGCGCTTGGAAGGGGGCTTGGGGCTTAGGTATTTGAATGCGTGGAACCAAGCGCTGCTCACCCGGACGCTTTGGAACATGCAAGCAAAAAAGGATACATTGTGGTACAAATGGATTCACAACATTTATTTGAAGGAGAACTCCATTTTGAATTAGAAAGTTAGACTGACGGACTCACCTCTCTTCAAAAACCTCTTTGAGATCCGGCAACTCTTGGTGGAAAAGTCGGGAAGTGAGAGAGGTGCGGATGGCCTTCTCGTAGGGTGAAAATCTCGAGAAGGTCAAGATGGGACTAGAAAGTGCTATGAATTCCTTCAAGCTAGAGCACCCATGGTGCCGTGGAATGTGGTTGTTTGGGGACCGTGCAATACCCCTAAACACTCTTTCATCCTTTGGTTTGGGGTGCTTAACCGACTCCGGACAAGAGATTGACTTGATTTCCATGATGAAGACCCAATATGTCCCCTATGTGGAGTTGTGAATGAATCCTCCAGACACTTATTTTTTGAATGCACCTTTAGCTCGGAGGTTTGGGAGGAGATTCGTACTTGAATTCACCTCCGACACCGTCCGTCCACACTAAAAGGAGCCCTCAAATGGATCAAGAAGGAGGCGAAAGGGAGCGGATGGAAAGCCAAATTGAAGAAAGCAGCGCTTGCGGCAACCGTGTACTTCATTTGGAATGCTAGAAATCGGTTGGTGTTTGAGAATGAATATCAAGGGCCGAGTCTTGTCATCCGCAAGGTAAAAACCCATGTTTATCGAACTACTTTTGCTATTTATACAAATGTACTTATGGAATTCGAGAGGCGGAGCCTCGGACTTTAGAGTATGCCTTGCTTGGGAGAGATTTGAGATGTATGGGTGGCCGAAAGATAAGCTTTTGGAGGATATTTCTAGAATCTTGTGGGGCTCTGGGTGCTAGCGGCGCTAAGGTAAGGCTTAGCGCCGCTATGAAGAAAGACTGGGTGAAGATTCCACTGCTTCCAGGTACTAGCGGCGCTAACATGGTATAGCGCCGCTAAGGATTCATATAGCGCAGC